GGTGGTGGTGACGATAGTAGTAGTAGAAGTAGTAGTAGTAGTAGTAGTAGTAGTAGTAGTAGTAGTAGTAGTAGTAGTAGTAGTAGTAGACGAAAACTGGTCACGCCGACGTGTCGGTAAATCCGAAAGTGTTCTGCTAGGCAAGCGGGGTCCTGCAAATCACGTCTTTGCGAGCGTGTTAGCGGGCGTTGGGTGATGGGTTATGGCAATTTGATTCGCAAAATCGCCGTCTTGCAGGGCTGACGCGTTTACTTGGCCTGGCGTATTCGGTTGGTTTTGAGGGCCTTTTGCTGCAGTCTTTGCTATTGTGCACCGAGCTTACCTAACAACTGGGAGAACTTTGCTCAGCTCTAGACGTATTGGCAACTGTCTTCAACGCGTCATTATAGTGCGGATTTTATCCGTCTTGACAGAGAACATCCGTAGGGACGCCACTGTAGAATAGCCTTCTGGGCAGGCATTCATCATCCAGTCTCTCGAAGCAACCGCCATCTGCTTTCAGCATCGAATGATCCTCAGCAGTATGGCATTAACTCCGACTCGAGATATAATCTTGACGGCGCTGCTTTGTGGAGCAAAAACCTGGACAGTCTACAAGAAACAAGCGCGGGACCTCACTCGCTGTCACCTCAACTGTCTTGGGCGGATCGTAAAGCTGAGGTGTCAAAACAGGACAGTTTTGGGAAGGATGGGAATCTCCATCATCCACGCCAGCATTGCAGCTGTGATAAGGCGGCCGCCTAGTTAAAATGAAAGATGTGCGATTACCAAAACGGCTCTTCTGAACTGCTTCCGGAACTCGCCTGTTGGCTTCCATCGGCAATCTAAATAGACGTCCCTACAGGTACTCCCCGATAATAACTCCAAACATGCCGCAACAAGGACAGCCTAAAAATTCTCTGAAGCCCTTACAAATTAGTCCGAAAAATCAGAATGGTCTCGTTAAAGATAGACCGCCTGGAAAGGAGCAGTGAAGGCTGGAGCACCAGTCTATGAAGCTAAATAAGCGGCTCCTGAGTCTTGAACGTCCCTGATCCACAATACCAACACCCAGCCTCTGCCGACATGCTTGCGATGCAAACGAACTCTCCTGACGCGGATTGGCCTCATAAGACATCTCAGGACCCAATGAAACAACAATCCGACAATCCTAAATACTGCTTCCACAAATGTTCTCCTCGTCGCCCTTGCACCAACGCCCACGACGATGACTTCCTTCACCACCAATGATCCCACCCCCTATGTCCCTCAACCGTCGATCACCAGCAACTCCATCAGCTCTACCGCAACCTCCGCGACGACTACCAACTCGCCCACTCCCGCCGCCAGTGAAAACACTCTGGACGACTCGTTAACCACTACTCTTACTATCATCATCCTCACCGCCAAAGATGTGGACTCGATCCCGGCCTGTCCTCATTGCGATCGTGCGCTTACACCAGACATCGGTCTGGTTGATAACATGCGAACCCATCCGACTCTGACCGACGTATTAGTGCCAGCAGTCCCCACACACTAGCTTCATCCACCTTCACTGTCCACGCACATTTCTTCTCCGCATTGGTCTATTCTTTCACATGCAGCTTCATTAATGTCTGCGAGGAATCAACCAGACTAGACCACATGACCAAACACTTCCACATCAACACATGTATCACATAGGTACCCCTACAACATCACAAAATGCAGGCGCACCTCACGAAAATGTCGGCCCTTTTCCCAACATGCGCCCCCCCCCCTACGATTCGGGAGATCTGGGTAGCCCACTCCATGCGAAATCATGACGTGTGCATGCAGGACGTCCGTTCGCGCGTGTAGCACGCGTAGAGTGGTTAATATTAGCCCGGACAGCCAACTTTCTCAAATACAGCAGTACATTAGGTGGGCTAACTCACGAAATGTCGACCGAAATTACGAAATGCGTTCTCGTTCCGGAAAGATTAATTAAATAGAGTTGTAAAACTGCTCAGCCTGCAACATAATTCTATAAATTTCCAGTTACCGCAGGATGCCGGCTTTCGAATGAACTTCCTTCCGGCTGCATGCAAAAAGCACACTCTGTAAAAAATGACTACTTAAGTGGCGTGAATTTTTCTCATTGATTTTCGATGTCCCTAAACGTCCAATTATATTTTATGGAAAAAGTGCATAAAAATATCCATTCTTCTGCTCATTTGGAAGAAAATGGCGTCTTTTTCCAATTTTATACTCCAAAGAGGGACATAATTCGGTTTTAAAAAGTTTCCAATTGGGGGACTTTAAATACTGTGAAATGGCCGTTCATAAACGTCATGTCTATGCATTTACCAATGTGGCTTGTAAAGTTAACAATATGGGTCAAATCCAATGCTAAATATTATGAACCTCATATGGTCTCCTCTTAATACCGTAGAGAAATGTGTGGTTTTCCGTAAGCGAAAAATACATGCCATGTAGTTTGGAAACCCTGAATGAAAATGTGACGCCAGCGCGAGTTCAGAATTATTCGGGAATAAGAACATTTTTTGAGAAGCTAATTACGTCCCTCCTTCGAGTATAAGATTAGAAGAAGATGTACTTGTCTACCAATATGAGCAAAAGACTGTTTTCCATGAAATATAACTGAATTTTTAAGAGCATTGATTGGCCTACATGCCCTATAACTGCCGCTTGCTCCTTTGCTGCTACTGCCTCTGGCGATGGACTCCTGTACGAGTCTGAAAGCTCAGGATAATAAACAAAGTGTTCCGGTGCTCGACCCTCCTTCATCACTAATGCACCCCTTGATAAACTGCTACAGTGCGTGACCGAGCTCATGAAGTGTTGGTCGAAATTCTGGAATGCCTTTTCGATTAGGAGGGATTACTTAGATGGAATATTAATATTGATTAGCCTATGGCATAGTCCTAGAACATTTCGGACTCGCCAGGATGTCGGCTTTTGTATGTATTCCTTTTTGACCTCCTGCGGAAACCGTACTCGGTAAGAACTGACTACTTATGTAGCATTCATTTTTCCTATGGATTTTCGATGGTCTTGTAAATTCGAATATAGTTTATAGAAAATGTGCAGAAAAATAAGCTTCCCTCTACCGTTCGGTAGAAAATCACATTGTCTCCATATCTTATACCCGAAGAAAAAGTTCATTAAGGTTTTAAAAAAGTTTCCCAATTCCCCAATAATTTTGAGCTTGATCTGTCTTTGCATTAGCGTTTAGCGATTTCAGTCTACAAAGTGCATGCTTTCCGCGTAAGGAAAACCATATATCCCCTTATGATTTTAAGAAGTTACCATATAGAGTTCATAGAATGCGGCTATGATTCTGGGCTGTTGTACATTTCATGAGGAGCGGTGGTAAACGGACATATGCGGTCCTGTGTGCATGGACATCGCACGGTCTTAAAAAGTTCATAATTAGAAATCTTTTAAAACCCTTATTGTACCCCTTCTTCGAGTATAAAATATGAGTGACTGTAAACAGCACTTATTACCCACTGTTCCCATTGTCCAAAATTTCTTTCCCCTCCTGACTAGATGTAACCTTGCCGGCTACGCTTAATTCAAAGTCCGTTATTTTCTGCTTTTTGTTTATTTTTTAATTGTCGCGCTCACTTTCTTTGCCACATGACAGCGCGCGATAAGATTCTCGGCTTAAATTTATTCATTCTCTGTGTCTTCCTGTTCTCCGACCTGTGTATTGCCCCACCCATAACCCCCCCTTCCCCCCCACCGCCACTCAACGCCAGACACGGTACACAGGCTAACTCAAATTAGTTAGGGGTCCTACACCCTATTGTCCCTGCTACTTCTTCAGCCCGCAGGTCCACATCAACTGGAGTCCTGTTTTTCTCCGTCATGTATTGCACACCGTGTTTTTTTGAACTTTCGACCCTTCTGCTGTTGTTTTTCTCGCATCGATCGCCCAAGACCATCTGAGCTTTCCTCAGGCGCCGGGGGGCCGTTCCGAAACTTTGTTGACGTCAACAACTCCTGAAGACTAACCAATCGATGCGAGTGAGCGACCTAACCCAAGTGAGAACTCACGCCGGTGCAAACAAGACGCCTGAGCGCTCTCTGACCGCCCCCCCCCCGCGCACATGTTTCCGCGTGCGTTACGCACGCACGCACGCACGCACACACACACACAGACAAACACACACGTTTATTGGTTCATCCTGATCGTGTGGGCGGTGGTGAAGAGGTCACAACAACAGCGTGCGGAATGTAGAAGCCTACGTTAGGTGGCGGTCGCCAAGCCGGTTACTTGCACCAAATTAGAGAGAATCGGTAGAAATGCCCAAGCAAAGGTTTTAGAAAGGCTGAATAGACAGGAGGTCAGAGGATTTCCGCAAAAACAACTTCGGTGCAGGAGGAGGGCAGTCGTCGAAAGTCTGTGCGCAAAAGCTCGCGGAATGCTCGAACGAGATGCAATGAAGTTTGGGGGCCGGGGGAGGAGGAGGGGCGGCGGAGATGTGTGTGTGTGTGTGATTATGGAACCAAGACGCGTGGAGAGCACGGGAAACCAGCCGTAGGGGGGAGGGGAGGGCAGGAATGAGAGAAGGACTGATCACCAACGATTGATGCCAAAGACGCGGACACGATAGAATTGCGGCAGTTTGGGCAGGATACTGAGGATGATGAGAGTTGAGGCGTTGATTGCAAAGTGGATGGGATCGTACTGGGTGTAGAAGCTAGCCAGGATAAATCTGTTGGGAGAGAGGGGGAGGAGAAAAATCAAACTATAAGTCAGAGGAAATGGTAAGGACGAAAAAATTTCAAGTTTTGGTGCCAGCATCGGTACAAAGTTGCTGTCTGCGGGGAACAAATTTGATCCGGTGTAATTAAGATGACTGCGAAGAAGGCACTGATGGCCGGAAGGTTGAAAGCAAGTCACATCTTTCGAGAGGTGATCAGAACGCCCAGCGCTTTAATAATATCGGCTAAGTACACTTTGGGTAACACTGGCCCCCCAAACACGACATGAGGACAGGAACGCCCAGCCCAGATCATAAAGGCGGACCCGCGTATAATTCCGGGAAGGGCAAATATCCCCGTACCCTACCACAAACAATCACCCTGATATAAAACTAAATCGTTGTCCTTAACCTTACCTCCAACTGTACCCTAAATTCTGAAGTTAAAACTTGCCCATACCTTAACCTTAAATATGATCCCGGCTTACCTTACCACTAACCTTAGATCTAGCCTTTGTCTTATTCCTTAACTCAGCCCTAACCCTGTTGGGAGCGCCTGTACTCCCAAAAACAAAAGCCAGCCAATCACTGGAGGCCACATGTGTTTCGCTGTAGCGCGCTGTCAGCATGATCGTGCTGCCTCGCCATTGGCTGCTCCCCTCGAGCCTGACCAATCCGTGCGTTCGAAATGTTGATCTTCTCAAAGTGCATTGGGCTGAATGCAGGCGAACCCCAGTAAGATTTAATAAATACGCGTTACTTTCCATTTGGACTTGACTTGCAACTTCCTAATACACTTTTCCGTGGCCGGTCGTATTCACCTCTGACGCGTTGGTATAGGGGACCGGAGTCGAGTGCGCAGACGCCTCACGTGATTTCAAGTATCAGGCCGGGTCATAACAAACCTTAACCTTAAATCTAACCCTCACTTCACTGGAAGTTGGCTCAAAGCCACCCGTATTGCAGGTGTTTTCTGTTCTCATGTCCTCTTTTTTTTGGGGGGGGGCATGTAAGTCAGTCTCACTTAACTTTGTTGCGCAACCGGTACGCAAGAAGAAAGCGGGTGGAGTGCTTCTAAGTGGACGATAGGATTGGTCTTTTCAAGGGTGATTGTAAGTTATGCGTGTATCTCCACGGATTACTTCCAGACGAGCCTCACAGTAGATGCGCTGGACCACCTTGGGGGCAGATCGGAGTGCGACATGTGTTAACGAGAATGCGCACCGCTAAATGCCAACATCGGGTATGGCGGCACGCCCAGTTGCAGGCTCACGTCGCGCTAACTGGGATCTAAGTCGCCTCCTCCCTGTTTGTTGTTATTCAAAGTCTTGAGTCAAGTGTGCGTTGCGGACCAGAGAGTGCGGTTGAACGCCTAGGTCCGGGTCCGGCCGCGCCGACCACTTGCGACCTCTCCCGCCTCAGATCTTCTTAACTCTGTCTTGACAATGAGCACAGGCGGGGAGGGGGAGAGGGGGGTGCGGTAGATTCTGCGCAAGTGTACTATCATTATAAACTAATTCCCGCACGAATCACCGTCCTTGCTGTCATTTTGCTGTGGAGCACACGGCGGACATCGTCGAAATCGACGGTCGAACTTTCGCATATCTCCAAAAAAGTTACAGGTTTGAACAGGCACAGACTTTGGAGCTCATACGCTGTGTATCAGTGGCAAGAGACAATCATGCATAGCATGGACGCACACGCATTAGCAAGCTTGAGGTCATAGAACAGTCAATAACTGTGGTGATGCAGAATCCAAAACCGGAAGAGGGCTCTGTTCGGCATATATTAGACGAAAGTGGAATATTTATATAACCAAGGAGACTAGTGCAGTCGTTAATTACCT